AAGAGCAGAGTAGACAGGAACAATCATCTCCCTGTCTCTGCTGCCCACCCCTCTTCTGATGGAGCCCAGGATATCATTTGCTTTCCAAGCTGCAAGAGCATACTGCTGGCTCATGTTAAGTTTTTCATCCATCAGGACCCCCAGGTTCTTCTCTGCAGGGCTGCCATCAAGGTCTGCTCCTTCCAATCTGTATAGATACCTGGGATTTCTCTGGCCAAGTGCAAAATCTTGCAAAATTTTCAAAAGTTATCATTAACGCATTCCAGAAATCTCTTTTATTGCTGTTGCTCTGTTTTGTTCTTCCAACAGACATCAAGGTAGTTGAAGTTCTCCATGAGGACCATATTTAGTGAACAAGAAGCTGTTTCTGTCTCTTTATAGAGGGCCTCATCCACTCAGTCTTCCCAATGGGGTAGCCTGCAGCAGACCCTCCCTCTGATATCTCCCTCCCCTACCTTCTATTTAAACCAATCCATAAGCTTTCTGTCAGCTCCTCATCCATCCACAGGTGCAGCTCTATGGACTCCAGCTGATTGCTAATGTAGAGGTCAACACAGTCTCCCTTTTCCCTGCCTGTCTTTCATGAAGAGTTTATACCCATCTACTCCTACATTCCAGACACGAGAGCCATCCTACAATGTTCCACCAGCCATGAGAGACATCCCATCACCTCTCAATAATCCAAAGCATCTATCTCTCTGGATTATTTGAGAATAGCCTTTTATTAATAAAGAGATAAACAATATGCCTTAACAGAACCTGCAGCATAGGCTCTGACTGAAAGAGAAATTATTATTTATCTTCTCTTTACTTCATAAGTAATCAGACTTGAATGCTGGTCTCCTTTTGCTACTTCCCAGACATGAAACAAAGATGATAAAAATGCTGAATCTGTTATTTCTTCCTTTCTGAAGACCTGGTGTTTCACTTGTTGCTCAGAGAAACACAATTGGTAGAGTCAGTGAAATATTTTGGGAGTGAAGCATGGAGTGGTGTGTACAGGTGTTACAGCACTAAAATTACTCATCCTGTGCAAGAGATAGCCAATCAGCCAATACAAATAGACAAAAGCATACAAGGTACCAGCAAGCCCACTAAATCTTTCTTTTTAAAGTTAAAGGAAGACAGGTATCTGCCTTGCTTCCAACTTCACTTCATGATCTTGTGTCTGTCCTTCTACACACAGTCTTCAGCTAGAAATATACTTATTCTGTAATTCTTCATGCCACATTTTTAATTACAAGCTCCATTTATTTTCCCTCTGACTTTTGAAATCTTATAATCTGTATTTAACTACAGAGTCAGAAAAAAAAAAATCATATATTAAAATCCATGCAATACATGGCGGAACTATCAAGCTGCTTCAAACTAGCCAACACAGTGACAAATACAGCAGCCAAAGAACCCATACCCATACCCATTCTGCAAGAGTTGGAGGTGCAAAAGAGGCAAAGCAGGAAGCCCTTAAGCCCTAAAGAAAAAGCACAAGAGCTATATGTAGAATGCAGTGCATTGGAATAAACACTGAAGATCTTAACTCAGACACACTCACATAATCATTGCAAAACTTTGGGTCACCTCAGGTGCTTGTTATTATTTTAATATTATTGTCTCTGACAGAAGTGAATGCAAAATGTTTGAAAACCCACGTGTATAATGCACATACACTGAAATATAGCTGAACCTCTATGCTTGCAAGGATCTGCTCATCATTACTTTGGGACTGATTTTTGGACACTGCTTTATACACAGCTTCATTTAAGCTAGATACTGGTAAGCATCTCTTTTCTCTAGTGTACACAGTGCAGTGTAATTTATAGTATCATGCAGATGTTGGATCATTTGAATCTCCATTCTGTTGCACATAATTTATATTGTCTGTGGCAAATAAAATGATAAGTACAAACCATATTGAATTCATCACTGTGAATTTGCATGCTTTCTCCTTGTTCTTCTTCACCTCACGGTATTTATGCTTGCTCTTTTTTGGTAGTAACGCCTGATATCACAGTGAATATCCTCTACAGTTTTGTTTAGATATTAAAACTAGATGTTCCATTCAAATTATGTTTCTACATACACTATTACCCCAAGCAACACTGAAATAATCTGCTGATCTGAAAGAGTATAGTAAAAGTAAGGGAAGTGATAACAAGGCACATAAAATATTTTCTCTTGTTTGCAGTCCTGACATAGATGATTTCTTTTAAAAAGATGAATCAATTTAGAATTCATATTAATCCTTTTTGTTTGTTTGTTTGTTTGTTTTTGTCTGCAACACTTTTATTTGGATCTTCTTTGAAAACATTTTCACATGAGCTCTGGTACAAGGTAAAGGACAGCTTAGCATATGCACAGAGCCAGATTCTTATCCTTTGGGGTTCTTAGACCTCAAAAGATCCTCAAAATGTTTCACCATGTTGACAAGTTATTCTCTGGCATTTAAAAATGGAAATACAGTAGATATTTATTTATTTTCTAATCACTTTTTCATTACTTTCTGATCAAACACTGGGAAATGTTTAAAGTAATTTCTAATGTTATATGGATATCTGCATTTTGCTACTGTTAGTGAAGCCATTATCTATTCATGCACAGTCTAATAAAATAAATAAACAGCTACCAAGACAGAATTCAGTGTTACTGCTTGAAAAAAACGAAAACATTAACAAGATCATAATGAAAAGCTTCTTTTGCTAGATTACAGCTTATCAAAAAGTCAGGTGAAGAAATGTCTGTTTAAAGAACAGAAGAAAAGAGAACCTCAAACCTTTTTAAATTCTGATCAGAAAAAAAAAAAAAATTGATACAGTATGCTAATCAAACATTATTTATTAATATGCAGGATCTGTGATGTACTAACATGGGAGTTGAGGCAGTTGTTCAAGCAACTGAAGTCTCTACGAACCTCCCTTTCCCAGAAGGATGAGGCCAGGCAGGAGTGTTAAATGTGTGCTCAGCCGCCATCTCCAAGAAGTCTCTAAAGCAAACACCAAAACTCCTTGGTGAAGGCAATTGCAGCCTCAATGCTATCAACTGACACTTGTGTGCAGTGACCCTCTCAGGTCTCAGAAATGGTCTTTTCAGATTCCAGGTCTTGTGGTATTGATTTCAATCAACAGCTTTTCCTAAGAGCCCCATTTCAAAACAGCTCTGTCAGAATTTCTGTTGTCTATGCCAAGTTTTATCTCAGGGTTTTCATTCATATTTGATATCACTCAGCTATATAACAGGAGAGTGTTTTCTGTGTGCACTTGTTTCCCTACAAGTTTTTTTTTTAATTGTGTTTGTTTCAGGAGTATATCTCCCTGTTTACTTACACTTTCTCTTACCTATTGATGGAGGCATGTAGAGCCTCTTCAAGCATTCTTTTAAAAATGATTTTACATTTTTGTTCATGCTTTAGTGAGAAGAAAGTACTGGCTTCATTAGAGCCAGCATTTTACCCCTTGCCTTTGCACACTGGAGGTAGCCCTCAATAGGCCATCTTATTGTTCCAGGGCCCCTGCTGCCCTTGCATCTACCTCAGCATCAGCAACTGCAGGAGTGCATGGGGCAGAAAGCAAGAAGCCATGCAGCAGGTTGCACCTCACCCCTTGTCTCCACGGCACAGCATAAAGCCTGTGCAGAGAGAGGCAGCAGGCCAAGTCACCTCAGGCGTCTGCACTGCCTAATCCCTGTAGCTCTTGGCATAAATGAGAGCAGTCAAAAGGGTTTTTTGATGGTTAAGAAGGGGGAAAGGGTGGTTTCAGACAGTAAAATGTTTCAACGTTTTTCTTTTTTCTGTTGTGTTTTGTTGTTTCTTTTTTTAAATGAAGAAAGCTATCAGGAAATCCTCAGCAGAAACTGAGAATGGGTTCCTGATGGCTGGATGGATTTTGCCAAAATCCATTTTAAGGTTTACTTTGAGTAAGCTCAAATCAGGTTGCCATATGGAATTACTCCATGCAGCAGCCTGACCCAGAGCAAGGCTGAACAAAGCTTAGATTATTTACTAAACTCCTAAACCACTGGCTGTTTTGCATCTCTCCCACACTGAATCTAATTCCATAAGTAAATAAGCATGCATTAAGTTAAAAAAACACATTAACAAATAGGCCAAATAGTCCTACACAAGGTAGGCTATTGATGATACACAAAGCACAACAAAGCGCAACCGTGGGTCAGCATTCATGCCTCAGACTGTCTCAAAGCTTTCTGGCACCTGCACTTGAGCATGTTTACTGCTGTAGCCAGGAAGATTGATCACAGGAAGCCAAAGCTGTTCAGTTAAAAAAATAAGAATCAGCTGTTTTCTATGAGCAGACTGTCAGATAACCAGCCTAATGAAACCGTGGGCATTTCTCTTGAGCTCAAGAAATATTCATGTTGGAGAGGATACTGGAGCCATTCTAATACTTTACAGTTGTTCTGGAGGTTAAATAGAAAGCGGCACAGAAGAAAGGATCTGCCTTTGTGATTAAAGAAACGGCAGAAACATAACATCAAAATGCACAGCTTTGCCCTTGACTAAAATAGTCATAACACTAATGCTGTATTTTTCACCTCGCTGATGCATTCCAAATTAAAAACACATAGGATACCTCTCACAGGCATTTGTAAAAAAAAAATAAAATGCCACAACTGTCTTGCAGAGAACCCAGACAGACAAGACATGGTCCTGCTTTTGTAAAAATAATTCATAACTTGATGAAATGTCTTGTGCCAGAATCAGATATAGGAAGCTTCAAATGAAAAATAGATTTGGTTCGTGTTATGACTACATAAGAAGTTTGCAGTTTCAGCCCTCCCTGCCCTGGGCACCAAATGGACATGAAGGTGAAAGGAAAGCAGCAAAAGGCTCAGCACACACAAATACTGGTGTCCTTCTATAGGGCACATCGCCAACCAGGAAAGCACTGGCCCTCATGGATAGGATTTTTGCTGGCTTGTGCACTCAAACATGGTGCCACCAGTTGCCCCACTGTCAGTGCCCAAGCACACTTTGGTACAAAACTCACCTTGTCTGTCTGCATACAAGCAGGACTCCACTGGACAAGCATTCACTCTGTTATGATGAAAATAGTCCATTGGACCTTCACTCCATTTTCCAGACAAAAAGTGTCAAAGTGCCATTGTGGGAGACAAAGCACAGTGTCACATCTTCTGCTGCCTCCTTCCTTATATTTATCATTTGCAAAAATAATAGTGCAGGAGAAAGGCAGCAGCCTAACCTGCTATACTCTGCTGTACCTCACAGAATCAACCATGCTAATGTAAATAAATGACTTTGAATGGCAGTGAGATGCTCACCACTGTTCCAGATCCTTTGCATTGCTCTCTGCATGCCAGGAGGGCAACCGGTTTATAACCACCTCAAGCTTCAAAGGAGATAAAAGAAGTCACAGAAACATTCCAGTCTGGCCTTTGAAACTGAATTAAATGATCTCTGGTACTGCCCCTCAAGGGAAAAGAGGAAGTGTCGAACTTAAAAAAGAACCTTCAGCTTGCTTTGCTGTTTCATCATGTTTCTCATTTTCGGAAACAAAACAAAGCCAAACATAACTAAAAATAAGCAAATGTAACTCATTTCATAATGTACAAATTTATTTGGCATAATTTCCAGCTTTGGTATAGCTACCAAGAATGTCATACTGATAATACTAGAAATATTGCTGGGAGTGAAATATGGCTGCTATATGAGGTACAGTGCCTGATACACTGCGTACCAAATAATGGGGCTGTATCCTGTTGAAAGATTAGAGTAGGCTGATCCTGTTTGGTTTTTATTTGCCACATCCAAGTTTCTGATATCCATTTAATATTAATATTATTTTAATGTAGACTTTTTTTTAAATTTAATTTATAGATGAAAAAGAGTAACAAGTGTTGATAATGATAAAATGGACAAAGCCGATGATGTCTCATGATAATAATAAGGAACAAATGAATAATAATGAGACAAATATTAAGAATGAATATTTAAGTGTTTGCATATAATTTAGTACACATTAAAATGAGATTTTTAAGTTTTTGCTGTTATTTTTCAATTCAGACATAGATCTTCTTGTTTCAGTGTTCATCTTTATTTTCTATTTGTAAACCAAGAGTGACTACATTTTGCAGTGCAGCAAAAGTAACATGTACTTTATATGCTGAAGGCATCTATCATCTTTTGTCTGTTGCTTTTCTGAAAAGTTCATCACCTCTATTACCACAACCAATAGCATTCTCATAGCAGAACTAATGCTTGTGAGAAAGAGCTTGCACAGTCCTCAGTGCTGTGTTTACACCAGCTGCATAAAGAAGAGAAAGGGAAGGAACAGTGCCAGTGATGGAAACTGTTGCCAAATAACAATTTTCATCATAAAAAGGGAACTTGATTTTCAAGATCAACAGAGGAAGCTTGCTGGGCAAGCTGGATCACAGGATTTGAGAAGTCATACACGAGGCCAGGGTTTGGGCAGGAGGAAGAAGAGTGAAATGGGAAAGATACTGCCTCAGGGAGCCAAAATGAGAGGACGGTCAGAGAAAGGCCGCAATAGACTACAGGCAGAATGAGAGAGTGGCTGCGAGGGTGAGCACTGCTTGATGCTGGTCACACCCAGCTGTCATCATGTATGCATACCATTGCATCTGTCTTCTGACCACACTGGCACATGTGTCCTTAAGAGCGCATTTGGGGAGCCAAGATCATTTGATGCAGTGTCTAGAAGCTAGGATTCAGGCAGCCCTGAATTTCTTTCTCATCCTGTTCTACTGATCAAGTGGCTTCCCATCAGATTTTTGGAGATGGTGAAGCATGCAGCAAGCTCCAATAGGGTGCATGCTGTTCAGGGCACTCTCCTTTAGCTCCAGTCAAAAGTCCATGGTGCTTCAGAAAGACAGTACTAGTCTTTGCCTGTGGAACTAGGCAGACTATTAGAACATGCAAAAGTTGTGTGCATGCCTAGTGAAATTTCTACTAACATTAACATCCATGAAGAGAGCATGCAGTCTTTTGAGCTTTGTGCTGGAGTGGATAGCCCTTTTTAATTCACACAGTCATAGCGTCACTGGGCTGCAGAGCAGCAGGCTATTTGTGACCTCCTGAAAGTCAAAGATGTATCAAATGAAACTGCTGATGCTGAAGCCTCTGATGGCCACCATATGGGGATAGAGGAAGTTCCTGATGGTATCACACACTTTTATTACAATGGCTATGACAGCAGATTTCCTCAATGTGAAGCAATTTGCCAATGAATATCAGAGCTGAGACTGAAAAAAGGCTAGTGGGTAAGGAGAAAATTTATGTCCTAAAAGAGTGACTGAAGAGCAACTATAGATGTTGATGGACTTTCAACACACAAGTACACACAAGGGAGGGGAGGGGAGGCGAAGTGGAGGGAAGGAAAGGTAAAAAGGAAAGGGGAAGGGGAAGGGGAAGGGGAAGGGGAAGGGGAAGGGGAAGGGGAAGGGAAAGGGAAAGGGAAAGGGAAAGGGAAAGGGAAAGGGAAAGGGAAAGGGAAAGGGAAAGGGAAAGGGAAAGGGAAAGGGAAAGGAACACGTGTTTTGCATTGCTTGGGAAAAGATGATACCATTTCCTGCCTGCACAAAGAATCAAGGCCAAATTCAGGCCAAAGAGAGGGAAGCTGCCTAAACTATCCGATAGGAAATACTTAAAGCATGAAAGCAGTTAAACATCTAACACTACACTGTAAAATACTACCAAATCTGAGGAGCATCTCTGAGAACTGAGTGCTTGTGTATTTGCAGTGACACCTGTGATAGTGACACAGTGTGACTTGACACAGTGACAGTACTTGCATCTTCTCTTTTTGAAATTAATTTACCTTAGACTACAAACTGCTTCTTCTATGTACCTCATTCCTATCGCCATTGCTTTTAGTTTTCAACCTGAGTCTTGTGAACAGAAAATATGCGATCAAGTACTTCCTCACCTAGAAAGCTGCTTTCTAACTCAGCTGCAGAACTAGGCTTTCACTGCCCCCTGGCACCATCAATCTCATATTTGCTCACCACCAGGAATGAGTTTCAGTGAGAGAGACTGAAAGGATAGGGAGTGATGGCTCAGAGACCGGCTTAGAAAGCGAACAGCAGATTACGTTACTGTGACTTGATTGAGGTGTACAGATATGTGAAGCCAAGAAGTAGCCAACTAGGGCTTGAATGCAATTTTGTGTAACTTCTCCATTCCTTTGTCACAACACAGCAAACTGAGGCATGGTGGTGGTGTGAGGCTTCAAGAAGCGGAGTAGAGTGTTCAAGGAGGAAACAGTTAATCTTGATATAGCCCTTGTTGAGTTGGCTTTTCCAGACAGAGTAATACCTGAGCAGATTCAGATATCTTTCCTAAATAAGGTAGCAGTATATTATCTGTATTCCTTCGTACCTTCATAAACTGCATTCAAGATTCAAAGTTTACATTAGGACTGACAGGTATAAAAAAAATGACTTTTCCCACACACCCTCCCAAGTCTGAAAAATAGTCTCATTAATTAAAACTAATGCCTGAATATTTATCCTCTATGAGACAATTATTAATTTAAAAATGCAGAAAAACAGACAAAAATTGCATATTGGCAGCTATATTTTAAACCAAAAAAATCTTCACATAATAAATACATCTTATGCACATTAACTTCAAATTTACTTCAGAAAGTTATTTACAATATAAATAATTATAAATGGGAACACTTTGCAAGATATTGTTGACAAAGCTAAATTGTGTTTCCTACATTACATTCCAAAGGAAATCTTCCAATTACAGATGTTATGCTACAATGTCACTAGACCCTATACATTGCAAGGCATGGTATTTAAAATGCTGGCAATCTGTGTTTTTTTTCCAAAAGTATAACTCATTGGTTTAAAGCAAACATGAAATATTTCAGTATGTCTCAAGTGCTTTTTTTTTTCTTTTTGTTAGATTAGCATGTTTTATGCATTGAAATATTTACCTTGGGAAAAAGTTTCAGTGCCTTAAAAGAACGTTTCCTAATAGATTTTATTTCCTTTAAATGCAAAAATGCATATGTTTTAAATGGTGTAAGCAAGACTGTTTCTTGCGTTTCCAAACTTCCCACTATATTGGCGTCTGGAAAAAAAAATCACATGCAATTCAAATTGCAATAAATAAACATCTTTAAAAGCTGCATTTTGAATCCTAGAACAACAGGAAATCTTTATAATTCCATATGAGAAGGGAGTTACTGAATCTGATCAGAAGAAAGCTTTGCTTCTGCCTGTATTTGATCTTTCTTTTCAAATGCAGTTTCATAGATGGAGTCATAAATTACCTCTTTTCAGAAAAGGATGCATTCTTAGCAACTTGGAGCCAGATTTATCCACAGGACTCTTGTACAAATATGCTAAATGCCACTGTGAAGTTAACCTCACATAATTTCTTCATTAATAAATGCTCCAAGGAAACGTGAAATGGAGTCACACTAGTGCTCGCATCATTCCAAACAGAAGACTGTATCAGCTTTTAGCCTTCAGAATAACAGCTTGGTAAAAACACTTTGCTAAACACTCAGCTACTCCTCTAGCAGGCTATATCAACATCGTACCATTGGATTACAGAAAAAAATGTGGGTTTTTTTGCTTCAGGTTTGGCTTGGCTTTTTTGTTGTTTTGCTTTGTTTTTGCTTCTCAGTGCATATGGCCAGAATATTTAACCACTAATATTACCTGCATATAAAAGAGGTCCTCTTTCACATTGTGAAGGTGTCTGAAGCTAATCCAGTATACCTACAGAAAAGGTTGTTCATCCACCATTGATCCTGACAACAATGCCTGCACTGCCTTTAGCCCCTTAGGTGTTTCAACTAAATTTGCAACTCATGGAAATACCAGAACCTGAATTGTTGGTATTAATTACAGCCACATTAGGACAGACATAGGTAGGTCTCATTGCAAGACATGATTCTGCAGAAGGTCTAAAACTCAAGCATACACCTCAGATTTGTTCCTCAACAGAAAGGCTAACTGGCCTTCACAACACCCAGTCTGGTTTTCTGGAGTGCCTGCTCCTTTTCCAAAAATACTTTTTTTCCCCCTAGTTCACTCAGGATGTTCACATAATTGAACATATGGTAGTTAATATATTTAGGAACATTAATGAATAAATGCTGCAAGTCCAGAAATAAAAACAAGATTCAGATAAAAGTGATTAAGAATGTTAGAAAGAAAAGAGTTTCAGTGTGGCAGTACTGTGTGGATACATCAGCAAAGCCTTATGAATCTTAAGGAAATACATCTGAGCCTCTTCCATGCAGAGATGCACTTGTTTTCAGAGCACATACAAATAAACTCTATCACAGAACCATAGCCATTACAGCCATCACCTTTCCTTGTTTCCATACTCATATTTTGAGATTCAAAACAAACAAAGACACAAACCTGTTGCCAGCTCACAGGAAGTCAACATTTTTGGCCCTTACACATATTAAGTAGTACCTTACTCCACAGATATTCCCATTACAGTCAATGGGACAAGTTGCTGAGTAAGGTTCGTTTTCTAACTAAAGAATTGTTGTGCAAATTTGTTCACAGTTGCATTCCGGGAGTGTAATTTTAAAGAATAAAATTAGGGAGGTTTTTTCCACTTTAAAAAAGATACACCAAAGTCATAATGCACCATCCACTGATGTCAATAAGAAATTATTTAAGAGAGCTGTCATCACTTCACGGAGTAGCTACAAAATGTTAATTTGCTGTAAATAGCAGAGCACTTTTATGTTAGAGAAATGACACAGCACATCAATTTTTATTTTTTCTTTTTCAATTCACAACCTACATATCTGCTTTAAAGTGATAACCTTAAGTTAATGTGATAGATTTTATGTATTTGGTACAAAAACTGCATTTTTCAATTTTCTGAAATATTCCATTTGATTTAGAAAAGAAAGGGGGGAAAAAAAGCTATATCTCTAAAGGATACTAATGAAAATTCAAATTAAATAAATACACTGTGGAAAAGGTAAGCTTTATACCATATTTAAAAGTATATGTTATATGAGCTGCAGTGATATTATATGCTATAATTAAGGTTGCAAATTTGCACAAGTAGCATGTAGCATGCAGAGTCTATGTTTACAACATTCAATGCTTTCTGTCAATTCAGAAGAAATTCCTGGCTATCTAAAGCAGCAGAATAGCAAAGTACTAACAAAAGGCATCTACTGAAGAGCTGAGGAGCAACAGTTGCTGAAACTCCAGGAGGGAACTGAGCATCAGCCTATGCCTGTAGCAGAACATAGCTGCAGAAACAGACTCTTCTACCTCTCTACTGATATATCAGGTATCCTAGTTACTACAGTGCATTTTGTTGCATTTATCACTGTAGTGGACTGGTACTGTTGAAAATAGGAGAAGTAACAACAGTTTTGAAGTTTTTATTTTGAACTTAAATGGCAATGGGGATTTCTTTTATTGCACAGCACACTGGCTTTTTCCTAGATGAAATTGTACAGATAGAAATATTCTATATTGTGCCTGCCTGCTTTATAAGTCTTCTGTTTTTCCAAAGTGCCTATCAAAATGCCCAAACTATCTTCTCCTGACTACTTGTGGCCATTAGACCATTAGACAAGCTGATCTCAAAAACCCTATTGCCTTCTAATTAAAAGTTTGATAACAAGGGTGCTTGATGACCCTAAAATCCTTTAGTGCTGACAGAATCCCACTCATCTAAACATTTTAGGAAATTCCTCAGTAATACAAAATAATATTGATAGTTAGACTTCTTTTTTATACGTTTTAGTAAGGATAATACGATACCATGTACCTCTACTCCGCTTTGCAAATTGTATTTTAATACTGTACAAGGAGACTCCAAATACAAGTTCATCCATATTATTCTTATGAATAAGTGAAATAAAGATTTATCCAGAGCTGGATTTATCAAAAATACTTTGTTGTTACTATGCTTTTGGAAGATATACAATTGTTGGGCTGAAAGAAGTCCATTTTGATCCATTCCTACCTCTGAGTTACAGGTTGTCAGTGTTTTTCTCCCCTTCAATTATTTGCTTTGCTTTTATCTTAAAACAAACAAACAAACAAAAATCTCTAGACCTTCTATTCATTTGGCAGTTAGTCAAATACATTTCTTGCCAAATCATTTTGTTCTCATTTTACTTTGGCTAACATTCAATGCCCTCTCTCATTTCTGTCACTAGTTCAAATAGTTTTAGAGCATTATTTATCCCTCTTCTGTGCAGAGCTTGGTAAACACCAGTGACATTACCCCATACTTTTTTCCGTTACAAAGATGACAGACCCAGTTTATTTAAAGTTTTTATTAGATCTTTCAGTCTCTTCATCTTTTTGCTGAGCTCTGCTCCACCTTTTCTATTATGGGCTTTAGATAATAAAAAACAGACTGTTGCTCTTCCTTGTGTTCAACGTACATTTCACCAGGAGTGATCACACTGCAGTCAATAGAGATTGCTTATGGAGTAAGGTACTACTCAATTCAAGATTCACAATCTGCCTTGGAGTGATCAGAACTATACACAATATTCCACATTCGGAGAGTTAATTTCCTCTACTTTCAAGTACATCTATACTTACGTGGCTTACAATGTTATTATTTAGCTTTTGCTTCTCATTAATTTTATTTGAAAATAGATATTTTTAACCCACCCATAGCATGCTGCTTTATATTTAGTTCCACTGATGACTCAATCCCATATGTTGAAATTCTTCATGGGTACAAATGAAGCTTGACTTAGTGCTAATCTCATTTTTGTAACCATCTCAAGTCCTCTTACCTTCATTTTGATATAATAAGGGGTGCTGGTCCTGTTCCTGTTGCAGTCAACTTTGAGATGTCTTGTAAATGCCATAAAAAGAAGCACAGGTCTAATATTCTTGCCTACAAATAACTTAGTTTACTTTTTTAGCATATTTTTTTTATTGAATCTTTTCAAATCAATTAGTGACTCTTTGTTCATGAGATTATTAAAAATCACAGAAATTTTTTCTGCCTCTTTTGATATCTTCTATAACTCCAGGACAGGCCACGATAATATCAATATTTGTAACGCAGTTGAAATTTTTGGAACCCCAGTTTCCCTCAGTAATTTTTTTCCTTATATATGACTGATTTTGGTATTCCTAATACGTTCATATATCCTTTTTTTTTCTTTTTTTTTTCTTTTTTCTTTTTTGCTGTAATGAAGAAAACAATGTATATTACTTTTTCAAAGCCATACCAATTACTCCTCTTTATGTCAGAATACTTATAACCTTCTATGCTTTCTTAATTTGCTACAACACTTGTACAAAATTAGGACAAACCTCCATGATGTTTTTATCTATTCCTGCCATATTCTTGTAGCGGTGCAGTTGCTTTTGTATTTTACAGAAAAATTTCTTATTCTATTGAATTCTTTTGTGTTTTGATTTGATTCTTCATTATTTGGCAATTTATAAGCACTTTTTCTTATGCTGTAAATATTACTGAATGTCATACATAGCCATAGGGTTAAATGTGTGTATCTTTGACCACTCCTACATCCAGTCTATTCTCTCTGTTTCTCCCAAGGATTTTTTTCCATTTCACACCACTTCCCCCTTTTTGCAACCTTTCAAAAATGAGGGCAATCTCCCATCTCTCCATCAAGACAAACATTTCTCAAAACTACACTGAGAAAGACCCTCTTTCTTTCTTTTAAATACACTCATAGTATTTGATTATTCTAATTATGAGGATACTGCTCATTTGACTCCTTTCAAATCAAGTGTATGTAAATAACTATGCATGTGAGTACACAAGAAAATAACAAATCTGAGTTCTTTCTCCCCTTTTTGATTTTGTATTGGTTGGCCATGGATGCTTTATACCATGGAGCAGCATAACACCCTTGGCCTTTAGGGAATAAAAAGATAGCCAGAAATACACATTTTGATGTGTATTTTACAGGATCACATTCCAACTTTCTGTGATAGTGCATAGCAGTTTTGTTATCTGGGATGTGTGGAACAGACACAGTTCAGAAGGTCTGCTCTGGGCAGCAATTCCAAAACAACCCCTCTTGTACAGTGCATGTAAATGGCTCTGCTAGCCTGCCCAGGTTCTCCCTACCTAGATCTCTTCCATCTTTTACACCTCAAATGGCACCAACTTTGAGTTTAGCTCCATTCCCTCTAACCCTGCATGCCAGTGCATTTTTATGTTTTAAAAGTAACATCTGTTAACTAACTCGTCTTCCCAAACCTTAGGTTAGTCTCTCTAGTGCACTGTGATATATCAAATGCTGGTAATGACAAGGGCATGAAAACATATTATATCTTCCAATTAGATCTCTAAGGTTACTTTTTAAAGCACAAAAGTTTTTAGAAAAAAGTGTCAGCTTCCATTGGTTATTATAACAGATGTCCCTTTGTGTCCTGCAGCTGGATCTTGCTGCATCCTTAAGTGAGAAGTCACATCAAAGTGTGATCCATTGCAGCCTAGTGAATAGTTTCTAATGGTTTCAGTGTCATATAGATGCTCCAGGGCATACCCAGTTAATGTGTAAGCATGTTTATCAAAGTACTGCCTGTGGGAGTTGTAATAATTTGGAGAAGCTGCTGGATGATCACCTGGAGTTTGATGAGGGGACATGTCTGTATTCAGGTAGTCTTTAGCCAGAACCAAGCTAGGTTTTGATATTCGGTCAGAACTGGGACTGCTTATCCTAGACAGTGCTGTGGGGCTGTTGTCATAGTCATTTTCATGAGGGCTCATAATCTTTCCATCCCGTTGCTGGATGTGTTCGCAGGGAGGAGTGTTGGCAACTGTCGGGACGCGGCAGATATCCCCTGCCAACTGTTGCTGCGGGTAGTTTGCAAAACAAATTGTATGCTTCTTCCCTGTGCCGTTAATGGAGATTAGTGGATCAGGGGTTGTTTTCCGTAACTGTAGCCTGTTTTCTTCCTCTTTGATCATTTGCTGGGTGGCTCTTATTAGAGTTTCAATTTTGCTGGGCTCATGTGGGCTGCTCTGATACTGTTCAGCACGGTATCGGTCACCAGATTCACTGGCAGAGCCAGGATCAGGTGAGCTAACAACACTGTCCTCATCCCAGTGTCCTCTTCCTAGGAAAGAGAGAAATACAACAAAAATTGGGGTTGAAGGCAGCAAGCAGTCTTTAAAAACATGCACTCTGAACATTGTTTTGCAGACAGAAAACTACACAGAGGCAAGTGAACTGTGGTGAAGTCATCAGGAATGTCCATGGTAGACTCTTTGCTTTCCAGGACAATTTACCTCAGATTACAGTAAAATAGAACCGTTCTTCTCTATCTCCAAAGGACTTATTCTGCAAGTCAATGGAACTGTGCTAATTAGCTCTTACAAATTCTTTAGATACAACCTGTGTTTTATAGATTATTTTAATAGAAAAGCAGCACTTTACGATACATCTGCCCTTACAACCTTAAAATCTGATTTTGGTGTCAGCTGCAATCTTTCATCTCTCAGACTGCCTTTTAAACCTAAGGGCCTTTGGATTTATCAAAACACAAAATCAGCCTTTCCTTGTGACGTTTTGATCAGTTTCACTTTCTGAAACTGTGCTAATACACTGAGGGTGCAACCCAACAGATACCTAATGGTGGGTGACTGTGTTGAAAAATAGTATTTTGAAGCTGAGAATTTGCTCTAACAAATACTGTTACCACACTACTTTTAGCTGCTGCAGTTTCCGTGGAAATAAATAGGAGGCATTACTTTTGGAGCAACCTACGTATATTTTGCTGCATGCTAAGCAGTCTGTTAAACAACTTGAATTATAAGTATTTCTCATATCTATACCCATGACCTCTGAGTTAGGAACATGCTTTATTTCCTCTATCTTGCATAGAGTTGCCCACTTGTGTCATGACTTTGAAACTGTTGCTTCATTTGAGAAAGTACCACTTCTGAAAATCCCGTTATCTCTTACCATGAATCCTGTGCACTGAAGTTATGTGGGGCATACTGTTTTCATACGCTTCTCTGCTTTCAGGGGACGACTTAGTCAGGGGTAAGGCTGATCGGGAGCCCCACCAGCCTTCCCTTCCTGGCTGCGGTGTGCCAAGGAAGTATCTGCCAGCTTCACATCTGCCTCCCTCACAGGCCTGAGTATGGAAATGTCTGTCATCGCCTAGCCTTGAGTGATCTAGTGCAAAACCATAGCAGAGAGCACTGCGGTCCGAGTACTGTCTGTAGGCACAGGAGACATCGTGATGTTGAGAGCTCGGCCTGTCCACAGGCTCCAACAGCTGGGGAGAGGCTGTGTCGGTGAGGGGGCTCCCACCCCACTGGCTCTCATGGTCAGATTCAGATCTCTCGGTGTGAAATCCAGAGTACTGAAAAACAGGAGAAACAGCAGGGAATTTACTGAGAATCAATGAAATCTGAAATATCGGCACTGGAAATATAGAGAGTATGCATTGAATAGAGCGTTTTTCATTAGCATGCCCACACGTCTTCACCTTCTGATGGGACTCCTCATCCTTTCCTGTATTACATCCTTAATGAGCTCACAGATGACAGGACAGACATCATGAACGTCTAAAACATCCCATGTCAGCCCTTAATAGCCATCTCTTTTATGATGTGTGATATTAGGATCACCAAAAACAGTGTGGCAAGTCAATATTTTTTTAATATGTCCAGGTTTTTCTCATTGCCTTGAAAGCTGCTGCTTATGTGCAACAATGGTGCTCCAAGGCTCTTCTGCAAAAAGTACTTTTTTTTGTAACACCACTCCTAGAGCATTCTCTCATGTCAAATTGAAACTGAATGTGTTTGCAAGTTCTTTTTCCCAAAGTCCCTTCTCTTTTCCATTTTTTTTCTTACCTTGGATATTCTGAAACTTATTTTCTGCTATTATTTGGGACAAAAAACTTTCCTGTAGATACTGGGACTCCCCAGACTACTAAAGAGAAAAGCTCAAAAGTAATAGTAGGTTAGTAGGAGATTAGAAATCACAGATCTGCTGTGAAGTGGGTATAAGGAAAACCCAGCAATTTTTTGCCAGAAAAAAAACAAAACAAAACAAAAACAACTGATTGCTAAAGCAGATAGAGCAAACATTTTGTCACCCTCATTTAAGCAGAGCCATCCCAAGACAAAAAAAAAAAAAAAAAAAAAACTAGCCAGCAGTTTGAAAAGCACAAAGAGTAGGAGAAGGAATGTTATTATGGCAGAAATAAGGGTTAAGTAAAATTCCATAAATTTCTAGATATTCTTAGTAAGTGTTTGAAACTTTTGGATACTTTCCTAGGAGAGAAAAAAAAAGAATTTTTGTTTAACCTCCTAGGATTTATCTATCTCATTTTTTAATCTTTTTATTTATTGGAAATGTCAAACTGCGTGGAACATCTTTAAATCAATTTCACCCATGATTACAGTCTGGGATGAGACCAAAGCCATACATGCTCACCTCTTCAATACTGCATACTCATGTCACAAATCAATGTATTACAGCATGAAACCTTGGAATTCTCCCATTCCATCATTCACCTTCCAGATGCCCATTCTGTTTTTTTCTTTTAATAGGCATTAGGCCTCTCTCCTGAAAACATAAACTTACCTTCCTTTTCATTAGATTGAGTTGCTATGAAACTCCTCATTATCAGCCAGGATCAAGGTTTTATGCACTTACCAATTGAAAGTATTGACCAGATGTTTGACTTTCAGAAACTTAAACCATCTGTGCAACATCAGTAGTGGAACTACTTCAGTTTTGGCATTTAATTGGGTATTGCTTCACTATTCCAGTTCATATTTGTGAATACTGTTTGTAAACAAGATAGGCTATTTAAAGGCAAGAAAGAAAGGGTCATGGCTTTGAAGTAGTAAATTATATTTTGTTAGTATTTGATAGAATTCCTGTAGGCAGAAAACTTTCTGGTAGACATGGAGGAGGCCAGCAAGCTAGTATCACCATACTCATTGCTACGTTTTAATAATGAAAGAATACATCTAACTTTGAATGAAAGTAATATAGTTAGATAGCCACAAAACTCTTTTAAATTTCAGCAGCTCAAGATAATTAGGAATTCTATTCAGCCATCATATTTTTAAGTAATCAACTGGTACACTTAACTTTTCTGCTATCCTTTCAAATCTAACATTTTCAAACCGCTTAGTCACAAATATGTCTTCATAAATAATAACTAAATTACTGTAAATTTTTTAAGAAAATATATGGACAAAATGAAGTTTACAATTAAAAAAAAAAAAGAAAATTTTAACTATGCAATTTTTGCTAGAATAGAAATTCACAAAACAAAAAACTGCTTTTGTGCCTGTTCTTACCTTCGGTATTATTTATAGTTTTTTTTTGTTTTGTTTTGTTTTAATTGTTTTTTATAAACTAGATTTTTTGTAATTGAAAAAGTTTCAAACAGAAATGTAAGACGATATAAATATAAATCTTAAGTATAAAAATGTTGAAAGTTGATTTATCTTCTTATTAAAAACAAAACCAGACTATGTACTCCTTTCATGAGAAGGACAAGAAAATATATTTCTCAATAATTTTATCATGAATTTTCATATTTTTTGACAACTTATGATGGTAATAAATGAGTACTAATTGCCAAAGATCTTTCAAATTGAAAATTCTGAATTTCATTTGGCTCTACTGTATATTCTTCCATCTATTCTCTGCTTTTAAGGATGCAGCAGGGCCCAGCTTGGCTTCTTTTGAGGAAGCTAATTTAACTGAAAAAATGTTTTTTTTTTTCTTTTTAAATCTTGGTCCTAACCAGAAGGGATTCAGTTGCACAGACTTTTACAAGAATGAGAAACCATATCAAACAGTCTATGTTCAGCATGTCAGAAATGCACCATGTAATGTCATATAACCATGTAGACAAGACCAACAATGCTTCATGCATTTTCTTTGTACTTGATGTAAATGATGATTATTTGAGATCTGACCCTTGGCAGCTGCTAGTCCATGCACAGAATTAAAATAACACTGTGAACTGCTTGTGGCCAGTGTTGTCTACCGATGTTTGGTATGACTGCTTATATTCTTAAGGTAGAACAGAAGCAGACGTAGGCCAAAAATATGTCAAATTCCTTTCAAAGTTAATTACATCTCAATTTGGCATCATTACACTGCCTCTACTGCTGCAGTCCTTAGACTGCCTCTTCTGGGAATTTGATGTTGACAGGTGGAGTCTCCAAATAAAGGCATGCGTGACAAGTTGATGGGGGGAGAAATGAAAGGATGATCAAAGATACTGCTTTACTGAGATGGCAGTGGAAACACTATCTCTCATGTCAGAATTAGGCTCCCATATGCCAAGTGATGAAAGACCATAGAAAACACAATTTGATTTAATGAAAATTCTGGCCAAATAAAACTAATGAAAACATTTTTTTCCTAATCTCAGTCCTGCCTCACCAAAAATGTTTTCCTTTCTGCCATTTTTGCCCTTTGTCTTCTCTCAGTAGAATTTATTAGCTTTGTTCTTTGTTGAAGTCTAACCAGAAGAGAACTTAAACATCATGAAGAACTTCTTCAGACAGGCAATAACTTCAGATGTTTTCTAAATTGTTTTCTAGCATAAAGAACAAAATAAATAAATCAAATTGTCCTCCAGCTGTTCCAAATACTAGAAATCACAGAATTGTAGAATCCTCAGATTGGAAAAGACCTCCTAGATCATCTAGTCTGGCCTCCAACTACCACCAATATCTCCCCACTAAATCATGTCCCTTAGTACAACATTTAAACATTTCTTGTACACTTCCAAGGCCAGTATTCAACCACCTCTCTGGGCAGCCTGTTCTAACCCCTAACCGCTCTTTTGAAGAAATTTTTCCTGATATCCAACCTGAATCTCCCCTGGTGCAGCTTAAGGCCATTCCCTCTAGTCCTTTCACTAGTCATATGGGAGAGCAGGTCATCCTTTGCCTCTCCACCACTTCCTTTCAAGTAGTTGTAGAGAACATAAGGTCTCTTCTGAGCCTCCTCATCTCCAGACTAGACAATCCCAGTTCTCTCAGAAATGGAGATTTGCAAATCTTTTTCTTAATCTTTCTCTCTGGAACTGTCTTCCAGAGTGTTATTTCAGTGTACAAAAGCGGTGAGGCCACACCAGCAGGATTAGCACTGACACAGAAAGGAGATATTGGCCATCACAGATGCTCCTTTTACTTGAAGAAAGACTTCAGAAGAGCTGAAGGGGCAAGGGAACAGGAAAATACCAATGTCATGTTTGCGACAAGTTTACTTTAAGGGAACCCATGGAAGTGAATTAGGCCAGTAGATGATTTTAATATTTCTTGAGTCATATTCTTTTGCCTGATCTCTCATTCTTACAGGTATCTGACTGGCTTAAGCCACTTATTCTGTCACATGCAGCAACATCAGCCTTCTCCACACACACTGTCAAATGTTCAAACAGTAGATGTTATAGTTATCTAATTTTCTGTCAGCCTGCTCATATTTTTATTGTTATGAACACAAAATATACAGTGAAACTCTCTGAGAGTTTGTTTTTCCATGAAAAACTTTCACTACATTAGCATTAACAGCTTTCCTCTTGATTTTTGTCTTAACCATGAGAAAAAAACATCACAGATGCGGGCAGCATTGTACTAAGAACATATGCATGCTTTTAAATCACTTTTATCTTACTTTTTACTAATGTAATCCTGAAATGTAAAATATGTTCTTTTTGCATTCACTATTATAGACAGAACAGATGGTGAAAGGCTTAGATTAAAGTAATACAGCATGTCCATTAAAATAACCCCCACTGCTGGTGACTCTTCACCAGATCAGGAGTTATGTTTACTATAAAAAGAAGGCTTTGCTTTGCTTTTGAATATGCTAAAAGTTACCACAGCCTTAGGCTACAGAAAGAAATGATAAATGAAAGGCTGACTAGAATTCAACTTGTTTCCAATGTCTCTACCTTGTTCTTTAAAGCAGGAGGGGATATGTCCAGTAGTGGTGGATTGCAGAATTAACCTAGATTATTTGTCTAAAGTAGTCATAAAGTTAGCTTACCTCCACTATCAGTTGTGGCGGTGAGTTAGCAATAACTAATATACACTACTGGAGAAATCTATTACTTCCAAAAATTTGTGAATGCTGTAACACAGACCAAAGTCCCCATCCAACTGTTAATAGGCACATCCCTATGTGTGCTTTCTCATTACATATACACTAAATATATATATATTATATATATCTATATGATCTTTATCCAAGAACCAAGATAAGATACGAAGCAATAAAACTTTATCCATATTGACCATAAAACATTCTCATTAGAGACAGACAACAGACAATTTTAAATATTTTCTTAAAATAATCATCATTAATGGGAGACTAAACTCCAAAGCAACTGTTCAGATGATCACAATTAAAATGCTTTTCCATTCTTGTTGCTTCTTCCTGTTTACAGAATAAATGAAGTCCAGGGCTAGCTTTTAATAACACAAAATAAATGAGGTCCAGGACTAGATTTTGAAAGTCCCTAGCTATTATTATTACTATTATTATTATTATGGGCAATGATGGGTAGATAACTTTTAACCAACTCACAGTTTCCTTTTCCTGCATACCTCTATCAAGTCTTCATCTGCAGTTTTTCCACCTCCTCTATCAGCTCCCTTCCACTCTAGTTGGACAGAACTGTAAGAGCACTGTTCATAGTGCTTTGGCAAATCCTTGTGCTGTGCCATGAATTTTGAGTTAGTTTCCTCTCTGCTTACCCTATCCCTGCCTGGGACAGGTTTCACAGTGTCTGCATGACCACTAAGTATGTATCAACCAGTGTTAATCAGATGATGACCAGTGCCTTCAATGTAATGAACTCACTGAAAAGCACCATATTGCAATATGCCTGTCTTTGCATTAGGTTTGAGGGGATAAAAAAAAACCACACGTTATCATTTTGTTAGGTGACCAAAACACTCCTTTTTTGCCCTAGAACTGAATATTCATCTGAAACTTATTAACATGGTTTTCTTACAGTTCACATCTCATGTAGCTTTCCTAGGGCACACAGCTGGCAAGGGAGTGGATTCTTAGTCATCACCCAAAAAAGCATGTGATTCCCTTTTCTCATCAAGAGTGAAGTACCAAATTAAAAGCTGTGAAGAAAGGAAAAAAAAAAAAAAAACCAGCAACTTACATTTAAAATTTCTTAGATGGCCTTAACATTGAGAGATTACTTTCCTCACTGCTGTTATTTTACTAATAGATTGCTTGCTTCCTTTCTCCACAAAAACAAACTAACAAAAAAAAACCAAACAGGCTCCTTTGCACAACAAAACCCATGTACTCACTTTCCAGACATGGCTTTCAAGTCACATTTTAATTCTTCACTACTGGCAAATTACATGGGCTGGAGATGAGGGACACGGACCATACCACCTGCTGTATGATCCTTGCAAAAGCTTTTCTTAATATTTCAACAGTTTATTCAGTGGTTAAGGTGGACCAGAGGGATACAAAGCCAAGCTACCAGCATTGCTTGTGGTGATGCACTGTAATGAATGGTATGACCACTTTTCAAGTTACTGGCAACTTGTGCTGCTGCTTGCTTATGAATGATGAAATCTGTGACTTTACTACCAGTCAGCTGATTACAAGGATGCAAAGTGAAACTGAAGACTAAATACCCTCAGCTTTCAGACAGCAATCCCTGATAAACCAACAGTCTCAGCATTGCACTGCTAGTTCTAGAATTATTCTGGAGGCAGAGAGAATGAAGTGGTGCTGGTGAAAGTTATACTGCCAAAAGCAAACTTTGCTGCGAGGATGATAGGTCTTCATTTGCAATTGTCCCACTAGTAAAGGATGACTTCTGAAAGGGTCTTACAAGGTGAAACAAAGGGTAATTTCAATAAATCATAGATAATCATCTTTAAAAATATAATTTGGAATTAATTGTAGGTATTTTACTGATTCTTTAAATCATTTTTGTTACAATCATTTGCTGTAGAGCACTCAAGTGAGAATGCTACTCTTTAGTAACTCATAGAAATGTTTGTGAACAAATGTTTGAACAACAGTCAGAACAATGTCTGGCAAATTTAGATTCTTAAAATTGAGCTTCCAAGTTTCTGTCATTCTTCTAAAACTCTTACCCTTGGTACTTTTGAGGAGAAAAGGAAAGAAAGAAAAAAATGATGTAGACATGTGGGCTGACATTGTACACTCATGGGAGCAAGTTTAGAACAGAGAAACTACAGTCCTCAGTTTCACTGTTGGATAAATATCGATCTGGACATTTTGAAAATATATAGCTATGCAATGTTATATCGTGAATGCAAACATTCTTCTATACATCATGTAGTGGAATAAGAGCTGAAGTTGTGCAACATTTTTTAGGAAACATAATGGTTAGTTCAACAAACCAGATTTATTTGAGATAAATGGCTGGCAATGTAATGGTGCAAATGCAGTGGCACTGTCTGTGGAACAGCCACACAGATCTGTTAGGCAAGCTGCAGGTCAGAGACTCAATAGAGTCTGGCCCATTCTATAAGCAGGGGCATGTGTCTAAAACATGAAGCATGAAAATGAAATCTGGGAAATTAAAGTCTGATAGTAGTCACCTATCAGTTCTTTCTCTCTTCCAAAGCTGTCCTGTTCCAATTCAACTAGGTCGCTCGTTTCTATTGCTACCCAAAATTCAGTCCTTTTGATTAACATTTCAGTGTTAAACTGCTGTCAAACATCTGGCAAGTTTCTAGATATGTTGGAATTATCAAAAAGGAAGGTAAAGCAAGTTTCCTCAGACTGCAATACTCCCAGTCCTCTCAAACCAAGTATTTCAAAAGCAACGTTTTCACTCATCCTTTTGTTCACTCGTTGTTAACTCAGAGCGCTGTGCTCTTACTGTTGTTGGTTATAATTTACTGTGCATGCTGAAGCATAACTGCTTCTAGCTTTTTAGAAACATTTTGAAGAAATGTATCCCTGTCTCAACGTCTTATAACCTGTTGTGTTTTACTCCCTTTGAGTAACACGCTCTTTGGCCCATTCTAATTGCGTGGGTTAAAAAAGCAGTCAAAATCAAGATATTCAAAAAGATTTAATTTTGTTTTCCAAAGACAACTACCTGTGGGTACGGTGATGTCCTTGATTTTGACTTTGTGCTCGAGAGGCGAGATTTGCTTCCCTTTCTATTATCCGTTATGGTCAGAGTTGAATTTGCGTATGAGAATGCCGGCTTGGTAGCTGTGACCTGATCCAGGGAGAGCTGTAGTCCTTTATATTCAGTATCCCTATGTAAAAGGCAAAAGTGAAAAACAAATTCACTTCATATCTTAATGGGAAACATACCTTCCTTAGCAGGAGTGGAAAAGAAAGATATTTTTAAGGAAAAAAAATAAAACCATGCAGTTTACTGCCCTTATATATCTATGTAGTATAGCTTACTAACCAATAGCACTATTTTCATACTGAAAATATGATTGCTTTTTGTGTCCAACTATTATCAAACTGATCTACATTTTCAGTAATAAAAAATTGAATGGGATGGAAATTTCAGAGACTTTCACTACAATTCTGCATTGGTCACAGAGCTCAGCAATAGGACACATTTTCCTCAAACTTTTAACTGTACAGCTACGAACTTACCACATGTGTATATGTGGACACTATTGCACATAGATAGGGATAACAGCCTTCATATGTAGATGGTTAAATAAATTAACATTTTTATAAGTGGAAAACATTTATAAACTATGTTTATACTTTTTATTATTGATGAATTGATGCAAATTTGTGAATCTTTTTTTCTGTGCATCCTGTGAGCTGTTATTCCTCTATTTGAAGAGTCTTTTACACTGGAAGTGCTTTCCAGGCAGATGAAACAGATAATTAAATAAAGATCTTGTAATTTAAATGGTATGCCACACACTCACAAAGTACTAGAGATTTTCTATGAGGAGTTAGGTATAATGGCAACTCATTACGTTCAGTATTAGTTTCTTCAAATTTTCTAATGAATACATAAAATAAAGGAAAATTGGCACTATTGATGATGTCTTTCTAACCATAATGAGGGCATATGCTTTAAACTGTGCCCCTCTGAAAACATCTGTGTTTCTGCTGGTACCCAGGGGAGTAAGAAAAGAGCTCTCCAGCTTTCATGTAGTCATACGGAACCTATTCTGACAATGATTCATTTAAACAGAGCAGAGAAGGAGCTTCTCCTTCACCTACCTACCTGGAGGAAAAGAGGAAGGATTCATGGTTTTCTCTTCCTTTGTGTTAATCAGCAGAGAAGGAGAGCAAGGAAAGAATAATGCTTCACTTATGCAGTCAAAGAGGCAGCATGTTCATTCAGACATTACCCCATGCTCCGTCTGAATCTAAAGATTCATTCTCATAACAGTAAACTGTTCGCCCCGCTTTAGCAACAATATCTTGTTCTAGAATCACATGTATTTTGATGCAAGCCATGACAGTTTTGTTTTTTTTTTTTAGAAAAGAACTTTGCCACAATCTGAGCACATCACAGCTTAGTACACTGAAATCCTTTCACTTAAAAAACAGCTGTAGAAGGATAAACTTGGTAAGTCACTGACATAAATGAAACAGGATGAATATTTGGACAGCCAAAGATAAACCTGCAAAATAGATGATTTATCCAACCCAATTCTACACTAAATTTTTTTTTGCAAACAAACTTGATAGAACAAACTGTTTTTTGACAGTCTATGTTTTTTTGTGGACTATGTGTGTGTCTCCATGTATATATACATAACACATAGAAGCAAATCACTGCCATTAGAACTGTGCTGAGTGTACTTCTTCCAGTCCATAATGTGCAGAGATTCGCTAAGCGTAACTACTGATGTAATGAAAATGTGTGTGATCATTGCTTCAAATTTTACCTTTAAAACTCTGCTATGTATTGGCTTTTCAAACACCATGCATGCAGCTATCATTCTGAATGTAGAGATCGTGTCCAAATACTTTGAAACCTTAAATCTTTTCCATGCTTACCTCCAGAATTTTGATATGGACACTGACTCAACATGCAAATCTTCTGTCTCCATATCAAAAGCCTTATCAAATTACCTTCTTATTATACAAAATATCAGAAACAAAGGGTGTCCTTTAATCTTCATATTTAACTACAGTAGCATGAGGTATTATCAATTGTCATAAAAATATCAATCTCACTGTGATATACACATTCTCCCTGGCAATTTGATTATAAGAAATTATGGAGGAAGGGTTCTGTGGTCTCAACGTCAGGTGCAGAATCACACAAATCAGAAAAGATCAAAACCGAGATGTTTTGCTTTTTATAACCTACTAAATCTTTTGTTTCCCATTCTACTGGAGAAGCCCTGCCATTATACACCCATCTCTGATGCATGCCAGTATCTGTTTCCTTCTCCTGTCAGAGTCTTTAAAAAATTGGAAGAAACCCACTTCAGTATTCAGACTATAGATTATCACTTCAACAGCACCTTCACGCTTTTTATTTCTGTATAAAGGCTGAGCATTGAAATATAAGAGACTACATGTATAATGAATGCTTCTAGGCCATAAGAATCTGAAAAATGGGTATGTCAGATCTGTCCAAAAAATCTTATGTGCTGTCATATATTTCCTTCCCAAATCCTTAGTATGTCTGGGGTGAGGAGTCACTTTCCCAGAACACCATAGATTGGAATAAACACCAAAAGCTAGTATTTGCTGCCAATTGCTTAGAACAAGTAGAGAACAATTTGAAATTCGTGTTGCTCAGTGTAAAGTTTCTGGGTAGGAAAAGAACACATCTGTGCTCTCCTTTCAGATGAAACACCTGGAATTTTTTGCATCATCAAGACATGAATCAATGCCATCCCTATCCTAGCATAGCTACCCTTCAGAAGATCCAAGATAGATAACAGAACACCACTAAAAACAGGTCAAGATAAATACCAGAAGTTTAAAAAAAAAAAGAAAATATGGAAGATGGGCTCTCAGTGTCAGATGGAGGAGATGTTCCATCAAGAAATGAAAATCTTTGAGTATATCCATATGTAGTGTGAAGCAACAGACTAGAGGAACCAGAGCTCCTAGTGGTGTACGAACAACAGATGGAATTTCTGACAACTTCCTGGAGGCATTCATAAAACTTCCGCCAACCACGGTACTGCAATCTCCAGATTCTTGTTTTCAGACCCCTGTATCTACTATTACACAGTCACATTAACACAGTAGTCTTGCAACTCATGTTCTACAAGTAATTAAAAAAAAGTGGTGGGTATGAACACCTTCTTCCAAGGTCCTCACCTTCAGGATCTATATAATCTACTTCTATCCATATGAGACTGCTGAGAGAGAGAGTGATATGGCATGTGTTCAATTGCTAGGAGTATGTTGCTGACAATCTACTATTTATCTCATTTTCTGATGCAACTATCATCACTATAAAACATCAGAATATCTACAGGAAATTAGCTCTTAAATGAAGAACATATGGATCAAACTGAATCCAGACAAGACCAAAGTAATGCTTCTTTGCAAAGGGAAACACATTGAAGACCTCCACCTTTTCATGATAGGAAACAGCCATTCCTTCCACAGTTGGATGGAAATTCTAGGTTCTCTTTGACTCCTAACCATATGCTTCCAAAAATGTATTATTTCTTCTCTTCCTTGTCCTTTCTCCCCCCAAAGAGAACTGGGCTGGTATGGTCAATGTATCAGGCACCTACAGACTGAATTACCATGCTCCTCTGTAAGTGAAAAGAAATTAAAAGAAAAAGCACAGCATCCATTTGATAAAATATGCTATTTCCCATTGTCTTCTTGGTTGTAACTCCCAGAAGCGTTTCTACTTTGCCTTGTCGCTGGTTCTTTCAATGCCCATTGTAAACTTTAATCCTAACTGTTGCTGTATTTGAGGTAACATCATGAAGAAAATAAGACCAAAGCCTACACCAACTGTACTTCTCTGAGAAGGACAAAAGCTGGAGGAGAAATGTGTTCGATGGAAGAAACCAATTTGTCTGCCCGTGACTTCTGTGCCAGCTGGATCTGCAAGACTTGTGTAAAGAGTGCTCACAAATCAGCAACAGAAGATTTTTTCTGCCTACTATCACTGCCAAAATATACAGCACGAAGAAAGATGAAAAGTCTGGTTAACAATGTTTTGAAAAGGAGGTAATGGCTGATTAGCATGTAGACAAAAAGGAGCAGTGAATGAGCATCAGAATAACATAGCTCCTGAATTCCTGGCAAACAAAAGAGGCTTACACAATTGTGGCAACTGGAACTCACCATGAAATTGAAGAAAATCAGAGTTTTCTATATAGCCTTATTGGATGGAGAAAAAAAAAAAGAGAGAGAAAGAAAAGAGTATTGCTAGAAACAGTGTTGGGAAGTCTGGAATTAGTAATGGAGGCCCAAGACAAAACTGTAGAGAAAAACTGAGGTTTTCTATACTTGTGTTTCTTCAAGAAATAGGAGGATCTTTGGGACTACCTTAATAAAAAATCTAAAACAAATGAACAGACATTAACTTTAGAAAGCTAATGGCATATTAACTTTGAAAATATTAAGATTCATTAACTCAAGAGAAATTAAACCCAGAAAAAAATGTTTTCAAATAGCAAGAGCAGCTGACCAGAACTTTTCCAGAGGAAAGAACAAGATAACACCCATTAGTGTTATAAATATTAAATATTAATAAATATTCATAAATATTCAGACTGAACCGAATGAATTTAAGAAGGAGGACAAACACACTCAAGAATAAAAAAAAGTTCTAATGTATGTACTCTCATAAGCAGCATAACCTTCAAAACAAGATGGGAACTTTCTGAACAAGAGGAAAGAATACTCTGCCCATTGAAAAATCTGCAAAAGCCGTAAGGAAGAGTGCCTGTTTACACTGATGTCTCAGCAGAGAGAAAGGAAGAATAAGCTATACATGCAGTAACTGAAAATACATCAATAATCAATGAAGAGACAAATATTTACAATGCACTTTTTCTATTAAAAGATGTTAGATGCTCCAAAGAAAATTTACAGAAATTCAGTCTTTATACATGAACTTATTGTATTAGAAGCATCTTTCAGTTCATACTTTCAAAACACCAATATACAGCTGGAAACAGATCTTACACTTATTCTCTCCATTGATAGCCTGAAAACTATGTAATGACCATGCTGTCAGTGGAAATCATACCAAATCATACCAAGGCATCAAGTGACTGTACAGTTCTGACAAATGTGGGATAACCTATATCTCTTCATTCCTAAAACATATTAGTGT